AAGAACAAACGAGTCCTATGTGTACTGTAAGGGTCTCATTATCCCACAGTCGCTCAATGGGCGGTTACAATCATCATTGAAAACCCACAAACCAATAACTTTTGATTAAAATTTATTGACATTAAAGAACTAGAGTGATACACAGTACATGTCTAGAATGCTCCTATAATGCTGATACAGCACAGTACAGTGGGGTATGCTATAACGACTCTAATTGGTTCTAGAACCTTGTTCGTTATAGCATTCGTTCGTTATAGGATTAATCCGTTCCAGGCCCCCAAATACAACCACTTAACACTGAAAAATATAATATTAAATTGTAAAAAAGTGCATAAATATGCATCTAAACCCTTGAAATAAAGAATATCATTAATACTTGTAACACAGAAACAATAAATTAGTAAAAAAAAATAAAAAAATTATATAATGTTCGTTGTAGGAGTTTCGTTCGTTATAGCATTATCAATTTTATAGGTAAAGCCGTTCGTTCTAGGAATATTCGTAGTAGGATCCGTTAGTTATAGCATACCCCACTGTATATATGATTTTTAATGTCCAGAATGTACAGTACAGTGTATCCAGTGAGGTAGCAAGGAAAAAGTGGCAAGTAGACCACTGCTTCCATTTAACACTTGTTATAATAAGTTGGAGCTTCACTATACAGTACTGTACTGTACTTCAACATTACCCTTAACCTTAACCAGACACTGTCCATATCCTTGTCACAGGTATTCTGGACACTTTTAGTTTTTCAATAACTTCCTCACACATTGACAGTTTCCAGCTCTGCTACTATAATGCTGCGGTGAAAATGAACTAAGGCTAATTTTCCACAAACACTCAGCAAAGGAGTCTAAATTATTTACCGGTGTCAGATTGCATGCCTAAATCGTATGCCAGTGTTTGCAGAATAATTACCCAGTAAGCAAATACAGTACAATGACTAGATAAGGTAATGTTAGGCTCTTTTATTTTTGTTTTAAATTTCCCATTTTTCCTCTGATTTGGTGGGCTGGGTCATAACTCAATAATATGCACTCCCCACATTTTTATTATTACCACTGTATTAACCATGAAATACTGCCCGAGAAAAAGTAAGATTAAAAAATGGTGAAGGTGGAGCAGATGACTAACACCAGGAGTAGTAGTTCGATTTTGTTCATTTTCTCCACAGACGTTCTTTGGGTGATAGTAAGTAATAAAAATGATACGGATGAGGAAATTGCAGGGTAAAACATGGTGAAAGCTGATTATATAACACCTAAATTTTGTCTCTACGTGCTTTGTAAGAGAAGAAATTAATTATTTACCATAAATATTCCTTTGAAAAATATGCCGTTGTCTGCTCTGTTTGCTTTCAATGGTACCAGATATTAAAATAAGTACTTTCTGTTTAATATGGCATGGGGTCTAGGGTGCAGATCCTCAGTTAGGAAGTTAGGTAAAGTTAGGTACTGTAGGTTTCTTTTTTCTTTTTTTTGGGAAGGGATTTGCCCACCAAGGTACAGGTCAATGACTGACGTCAGGGCCTCGGGGCAAAAATATAATAATAATAATAATAATAATAATAATAATAATAATAATAATAATAATAATAAAATTATTAAAAACATAATAAAAAATAAATTAAAATATAATACAACAATAAAAATAATAATTAATAAAAATTAATAAAATTATAAAAAATACCGTAGATGGTTAGGAAGGTTCTATTACGTTCTGTCGTTTTATTATACTGTATACTGTACTAACATCCAAAAAACCTCTGTGGAAATTTTTTTTTAAATCAAACAACAGGTTCTGGTGTTACCCACCTGCTCCAGGATTACCTAATATTCCTCAGATCCCATATTGATCGAAAGTAAAAAATTTACCAACTATTGTAGTCGGAATTATCAATGAAACGTACTTGTCACATTTGTAGTTCAATAGTTCCATTCATCTATTACTTTTAGTTTTGGCAATGGATATTTTGCCGTGACCGGCTAAGTTCCTACTAATGCCATTTTACCATGAGTCCACTCCGATTGGCTAGAACGATATGTGACCGTGACTCTGGTGGCATTTAGCATTTATTTTGTCGTGAGTCTATCATTGTGTAGCTATAAACATACAGTACCTAACTAAGAGTTGTTCAATTTTGTTAATTTTTTCACAGATGTTCTTTTTATTACAGGTATAAAAAGAGACGACAAGAGATCCTAATAGAACCTTACCGAACTTCCTAGCTGGAGGGTGGACCCCCTGTCATATTAAACAGAAAGTACTTAACCAATCAGAGTGCATTTACGGTAAAATAGCGGGTACTGTTTCGTTCATCCAGCAAATTTTAGGATTTTAAGTTTAGGTTAGATTAAGTTAGGTTGAGTTGGGTTAGATTAAATTAGGTTAAGTTAGGTTGGGTTATGTTAGGTTAGGTTGAAATTATGTTTTTCCTGTGGTTTTTGATGCATTTTGAACACATTTCAAATAGGTGGATGACCTAAAAGAAAATTTTTTCCAAATAGCATTAACAGGAACTTAACCGGTTATGGCAAAATATCCACTACGTTCACTTTTTTTACTTTTATCCTCTTTGCCACTGATCGACTCGTTAGCTGCTTTGGTGGTCGGTCACATATCTGGGTAATATTTTACTTTAGAGCATAGCATGTCCAAAAGTTATAAACTACTGAAACACTTAGATCTCCCAATTCTGGGCATTTTGAACCCCCATTTATACCATTCGTAAATGGATAACAGCGACACAATTGAATCTAATTTATTTTATGTACTTTTTACTCTTCGTCTGTGTGATGTTATCGGCATGAAACCGAGTTAATTTGCATCACGCAAGCGCAATATTGATTGACGTCATCCAGTCATGACCAATGATGCATTGATATCATCCAGTGATTTTTTTTACCAATCACATTTGAATTTTTCAAAACAGCCTGGGTATGGATTTGAAATTGGTATTATTTTACTTTAGGACATAGCGCGCCCTAAAGTTTTAAACTATAGAAACATTTAGGTTAGGTTTCAGCTAGGTCTACCGGGGATCCAGGGGCAGAGCCCCCAGCTTGGGGTTACGTTAGGTTCGATGACTCGTTTTCTCCCCCACCCAAAAACCCAAATTTCCCAGGCTCTCCCCAATTTTTTTTTTTAGGAGGGGGCAAAAACGAGCAATTTCCGACAAAAATGAAGGGCAGATTCGTTTAAAATACACCAAAATACACTGGAAAAACATATTGGTCAACCCCTAGGGACTTATGTCCTAAAGTAAAAATTTACCTAACTCTGTTACACACTGTTGGCAAGCACTGAGTATGTACTGGCTCCTGGAAGTATCTACCTATACCTACGCCTGTGTTGGTCAAGTCCGGTCTTGAGAGCTCACACTCGGTGCCGTCACAACACACCGACCCAACTTGTTCTTACAAGACCTCAAAGTAAATGGCTTGTATCATACTACTTACCATTGATGAGTACAGTATGAAGAACCAATGTAAATTTGTGACCAATTTAAAATAAAAGTTCTATCCAAATATTGTAGCTACAGTTGACATTAAACGATATTCACATTGGACATCTCCTATTTCTCCGCTATAACTATACTGTACTGTACAGTGCTTACGTAACAAGATATTAAAATGCAATGGGAATGAAATAGTCTTTCTTACCTATTAAGAAATGTGGTGATCCATCGTGACAGCATTATTTAAACTGCTACCACCTGTTATGTCTTCACCTTAATTATGGAACAACCAGCCAATGAGGTTACAGATTAAGTTCACGTTATTTTGCGCCAATCACAAGCTTCGTTGCAGGCCGTCTGGGTCCTGCGTTTGTTTATATCTCTCGAAGTTGACAGGAATGGTGATGAAACTGATAATGATAGATACTGTACTTATTGATTATTATTTTGGTTATTTTGATATTAAGGAATTCATCACATGTACAATAAATTACATTGCAGTACCTAGTTCAGTAAACATGTCCTGCAAGTTCATTCGTTCAGCATGTCAATATTGTTAATATTATCCCTTTTACTTACTTTTATCCTCTTCACCACAGAACGGCTTAATAAAATTTCAGTATCAATACTAATATCGCATAACATTCATATAGTATAGTTTGTTTCTATATTTGATATACAGTTGTTAGATATTGTTATATATTTTATTTATGGAGTGCATACAAGTCTCGTTTCTATTAATAAATATACATATTTACCTACCTTATAACCTATAGTTTATAGTGGCCACCCAAACTAGAGTAGCCATGCCGAAGGAAGGCGGCTAGAAGCAAGGAATATCTATTAATTTTACTTTTATCCTCTTCGCGACTGTTCGGCTCGTTAGCCGGTCATGTTTGTTACACACTGTTGGCAAACTTCTGGGCAGGTACTGGCTCCTGAATGTATCTGAACACTGGTCATGTCACCCAGGTAACAGAACTCATCGACATTGAAAATATTTTTTTCTCTTGTCAAGGGCTAATAGCCCCTATTTTGAGTAGCTCCAGTGGCTAAGAAGATAAAGTAAACTAAGTATTTACTACAGTATTGATAAAGATGTATGTATTTAATATTACATAATGTATAATATAAATTACTACGATATTTATGGTATAAGTCTAATACTATGATATAAGAATCCTACTGTAGGAAAAGAGGTAAGATGAGTCAGAGTCAGTGAAGTCAGCTGGTGGAATAGTTTACACGGGCGCTGGGCTAATCACCAATGCGAAATTAGATTTGAATTTAACGTTTAAGGCTATTACTAGGTTTTAACAACTAAGGTCTTTAATTACTTAATAAGCTTAGTAATCACACTAGTCCATTAACAATAAAGGGTTATGAAAGATATAACTGAACCAACAAATAAAAAAAATAATTATACCTTAATATTCATGACTTATGGATGTCTAACTTATGCATGCAGTTTCAGATTTACAATCAATGTTTTATGCTTCCACTCTCGTGTATAAATATTATGCAATATTCAAGTGTGTAACGAGCCGATCAGTGTCGAAGAGGATAAAGATACAGTATATATGGACCATTCGATGTGTTGAATGCATTGTTAATCTTTATATGCATGAAAAAATATGACATTTTATATTAAAATTTAATGCATACATAAGTACGACATATATCCTAAAAATAGCTGAGCCTGTTCCTTATGTTTTTCCCGTGTGAGCAATTATAGCATAGCCCCGCGCCTGCCATTACGAGGACTAGCAGAAGCAGAATCCACCATCATCACAGTCGCCCAAAGAATACCTTACCTTGTCTAATTTATATTAGTAGTACGTCTTTCTTACCTCTGCCGTAACCGTAGAGCATGTGAGTATATTAACATTAACTACCAGCGAGCAACCCCATGAATTTAAATAGCATGAGATATCTTGGCTCACCATTAGTAAAGTATAATTAACAGACGTCAACAGTCTAGTGTAGTGGGCTGTCGTATTATGACTGATAGTAACGTAATGATGTAACATATGTGTTGAATGGAAGTATAACTAATTGTATCAGTGACTAAAGAGTGTTGCCAATAGGTCTCATGACCGCTAAGCTGTAACGTAATGACTTATTGATATAGTACTGCCTTTAATATCCGAGTAAGACTGCTACAACAAGAAGTGACTGTTAGTCTTATTGTGACAGTAATTTGTAAAAATTCGTTTGGTCATTTTTTTCTTATGCACCGATCTTTGTTTGGATATTTTTTCCTATGATATTTTATGAGTTTTGAACGAATTTGATACATTTCTGCTGGAAATCACTAGTTTTGAGATCCCCCCCCCAAAACAATAATGGGGGAAGAGCCTTGGAAATCGTGTTTTTTGGGTGGGGGAGAAAACGAAACGAATCATCTAACCTCACAAAACCTAACCTAACTTTTGGGGCGCCATGTACGAAAGTACAATACCATAGTTAGAAGTGGGATGACCAGGGATATGTAAGAATTGGATAGAATGATTGTCTTTCTTATAAAACTCGGCAATAAACAAAATAATCGTAGAAGCACAAATGACAACCAACCTCCACCACAGCCATTGTGAGACTGGTCAATGAAATTACCCAGGCTGCTTCCCTTGAAAAAATCAAATGTGATAAGTCGAAAGAATTTGTGTGATGACATTGATACATCATTGGTCACGACTGGATGACGTTAGTCAATATTGTGCATGCGTGCTGTGCAGATAACATCTCCTCACAGAGACGAAGACATGGCGAAGCTTGTGACTGAGCGAATTTAATAATACTGTATTGAAAAATTAATATCTCGGTTATCCTTAATTTCCGGCTGAAATATCATAGAAGAAAAGGTTTACAATTGTCAAAACATTACGAAATACATATTAATAACAACGAGAGAAACACCGGTGCATAAAGAAAAATTCACCATTCGTTTTTATCCCATATACCTAACCTAACACCCTAATCTCACCTAACTGTTGCCATATACCTATCCAGGAGGGCAAAGGTTGAAATACCTATTGGGATAAAAACAAATATTAACCTAGGATGGTTCTGAGATGTTAAAGAATTTTCATATAACAATTTTCTTTGTGTTGTATGTGTTTGAGTATATTGTATTAGTTACACAGAATTTTGTGTGGTTTAGATATGTTTAGAGAAACTTGCAGATAGGAAACAAAATAATAATAATGATTTTGAGAAGGTAGAAAAAATAAAACAGATTTGTACAGTCAGGACAGTATACTGTATATCAAGGCCATAATTACTTTAGATTGGTATGCAACAAATAATTTTTGTATTGTTGGATGATACACCTCTTGTACTGTATGTGTCCCACTAGCATGAAGGTCGAAGTATGGACGACCAGGAAGAACGTGTGCATGACCAAGAAGAGTGGCATGTTGAAGCTGTTGCTGTCATCCAGGATGTGAAGGACTGTGTCTCCCAGATTCATATATCATCCCTCCCATCCTCCAACACCACCATTTACTTCAATCTCACCACCAAAGAAGATAACACCTATTGTATCGAGCTCACCGCTTCAGGATTCAGGTGGTTTAAACAGCATTAATACTACTAAGTACAGTAGTTATATTATTTGGGGATCACTGTAATTGTACATAGTAGCTCTTTGTCCATTGAACCTTGGTTGACTTGGTTCAAACTACTATCCTGGTAGTTACTTTGAAAACCAGCTAGGTTTCATAATCACTAAAATACACTGCTATTAGTTCACTAGCATATTGAATCATAAGCAACCTATAGAGATTCTGTGCATCAACTGTTACATCATATGTGCCCATTCCAGCTGTACAGGCCTCCTCTAGGCATCTTTGTGCTAATCTTTCAGTGGATCAACTGGGAGGGTATGTTTTTTCACACTTTCTTATTAAATGTTGATGGAACTGGCAGTCCTTTTTATACAGCCTCATCAGATTTGTAAAGTAACTAAATAAATTTACTTGAGTACTGTATTCAAATAAAATTTTTGGGTATTTACTTTTTAAAAAGTACAGTACAGTACTCAATTTTTTTGTACTTTTACTTAGTATGGTCTTCTAACACTTTTACTCCAATACAATTAAAAAACTCATTACTCATTACATGCAAACTAATAATATTATTAATGATTAATTATTAGCCATAGTAAAAGAGTTGTGTGGGTGGAGCCATGAGGGGTACATTGTGGGTGTGGGAAAACACCATGCTGTCACATACCTAGAGGTCTCGTGAGGTGACGTCAGGTCAGGTGGCAGTGGCCATGACAGCAAACTTTCCCTTTGATCTTCTTGTGTCCATTAGCATCTTGACCTACCCTCTTATACCCTCTCCCCCATTGAATCCCCTCTCTTATCCCCCACCTTTCTTTCAGGGACTTGGTCTTTCTGTTAGACGTCAGTTGCTCTTTGTATATACCTGTACAAGCCTAGTCACAAGACCATATGGTTAGACACTAATACATTGGTACCCGTGTCTCACTGGACAAGTTATGTCTTGTGATATGGAGACAATATTGATATGATTTAAGGACAATGGGAGTTAGCACCCACCAAAGCTTGAATAGCATACAAGAATTAAATCTGAATTATTATGAATGAGTAGGTGGTGACATATAATGGTTAGTGACTCGTCCTATAGTACTGTAGTAGGTTCCTGACAGTGGGACAGTCAAGGGTGCTAGCGTTGGGACAGTTACAGAGCTTATGGGAAGAGAAGTGTGGGTCACCCCTGCCTCAGGTACTTGCCAGATAAGTTTGTTCCTGACCTAATGTGAGCAGAGACAACATGTGGATAAGGAAGAAAGTGATCATAGTGTTGAATGGATATATTTTCAGCCCGTTCACTATCCTTGCGATGGATTGTAGGTAGAAAAGCGGCTGAATGTATTGTCTTTCGGTAGGTCATGCTGGGCTTATATTTAGACCTAAAAGATCCTGATTGGACAGCCATAATTTTGAAAATCGTTTATTGATTAATCTCAATTGAAAGATTTGCAAATAAACATGTGTAATGCTTTGTCTTTTATTTTTATCTTAAGCTAACTATTTTTTTTTATAATTTACTATGGATTTATTTTAATATTTGAGACAATAATTTTGTTGTTACTTTTTACTTTCAGTACTTGAGTACTTTTTGAATGAGATAATTTGTTACTTTACTTGAGTACATTGAACTTTGGGTACTTTACTTGAGTAACATTTTGCTAATGTAACAAAAATTTCACTTAAGTAACAAAGTCCAGTACTTTTTTCAACTTGATGGAGCTATCCCCCACTATACTGTATTTTAATTCTATAACTTAAAGTTTTTAGTAAGTAAAAACAGATTAGATTAAAGACATAGAAATCAGACATACAGGTATTTAACCGATGATAAGAATTACATTTCATACTACCGAGATAAACTTTGGAAGAACCAGCCGACAGTGAACTGTACTGTAAGGCCAGTAATGCCATACAAATATACCAGCCTGGGAGTGGAGATCTGGGCATAGAGGCACTTCATGCCAGAGTCCAGTAACATATCTAAGAACAGAAATCCTAAGAAAATAAAATGAAATTGTTTTGTAACATGATTCTCAAACTGAGGAAATACTAAAAGCAATTCACACACACACACACATATTATACACTTATATGCTATACACAGAACCTAAATGCACACAATTAAACAATATTTTTTTCAAAAAGACACAAACACTTGAAGCATCTCTCACACTGCAAGCAGGGCTGGATTCAGGAGTGGGCAGCTGCCCAGGGGCCTCCGCAATCTGGGGGCCTCCACATATTTCAATATTTTATTTATTTGATAATTCATTTGGATTATTTTTATTTTCATTCTTTAAAATTCATGTTTATCTATTCCATCACGTAAAACTACGTTCAGCAAGAAGCGTGATAGAAATTAGGCTAGCTACTCCTTGAAATTCATGAATACCTGGTTTTCCTATGAACCGTATATTTTTAATGAATGCTATTGTTTGTGTTGCTAATAATATATTTAGAATTCCACAAACATATATTGATTAAAAATAAACTACATGGAATAACGAAATTGAGATTAAAAAAAATATATATTTTTTTTTCATTATCACTTCCATTACGAATGCCATCAGGGCGCTGTGTTCTAATTTCCTCAATATAACTGCATATGACTTCAAAATTCTCCATAGAAGTGTTCAAATTTCAAAATTTTCCCGGGGGGCTTACAGCGCCCCCCGGAACTCCCAGATGTTTAGGCTCGCTTCACTCGCCACCCCACCCTCTTGGGTAATTATAATGAGGGGGGGCCTCCACAAAGAGGCTACCCATGGGCCTCCACAGGTCTAAATCCGACAATGACTGCAAGCTTGTACAGTACGTATTGTATTACATCACCATAAGCTTGTAATGTACAGTATTACGTAACATAAACTACCTGATTGACTTGTAACAGTATGTTCTCGTGTTGGCACTGGTCACTAACCTGTCAAGTCAGGTCAAATTGCGCCACCTTTGATCTGCCACTAATTTGATATACCCGGTACTGTATTTATTTAATGCAATCTAAATACAATTACTGTATATAATATAGTCAGTGTGTCTGTACAAAGATGAAAATCCGAATCCAGTGCTATGCCTCTGCTTCGAAACTGAAACCTTTAGAAGGTTTCAAATCCAAAACCATGCCCAAAAAGCATAGCTTCTAGAAGCCAAAGCCAGCTTCAGCCCCATGCCTGCAGGCCTGTACATGGGTTAATGGGGGCTTGCCGATAAACATGATGGTACACAAGCACTCCTCCTTTCTTTATATAAAGAGTTTTCCTCACAATTCTTACAAGCTTTTTTTTTTTTTGTGTTTTACTTTATATAAATTATATTGGAAAAACATGACACTTCATTTTGCATAACACTGAATAATGCTACTCAATGTTATCAAGGATTTTATTTACGATCGGGAAGCATAATTCTGTGTATCTCTTCCCCTAGAATCGTGGGCAGCAAGTACGACGACAACTCCCAGTCATCAGAGGAATACTTTGAGACTCCATATGCACTGCTCGACAATATTAGTCCCTTGTACCGTGAGAGTTTCAGTTCTGCTTTAGCTGCAAAGTTGATGCTGCTCACTGAGGAAGTTGACAAAGAAGAAATGGAAATAGTGGATTGATGGCTGATATTGAGTTTATGTCTAGTAATAATGTGTGTAGTGTTTAAAACAGAATTTCCTCATAGTTGTATATGGTAGAGGATTCTTTCCAGTCATAAATGTTATAGTAGTGCATTACATTATCTCCTCTACAAAAGGCTTGTTGTAGCTATTAAATATAATCACAAATAATGAAAACTGGTGAACCTTTGTGACACTAAGACTATAACATTAACAGGACTGAAAGTGTATTACAGTATTTGTCCAGAAAGTAGATCATGTGTCAATACCTGGTTTGATACATCCTAGTCACAAACTGAACTAAGAGAATAAATGTCATCCAAATCAACAATGTGACCCATATAAGTTACAACTGTGGATCACCTACGTCTCTCACCCTCATACACAACAGGTTAGTATGTCTAACTGTATGATAATATGTCACTTAATTGTGTTGTCCACACATGTACAGTATCCTGTTTGGGAACAAGGAGGCCCTGCAATTCCGTAATTATTTGGAACTTGGCTGTTGCTAGTTTGGTGGATAATTTTGGTCTCATTTTGCTCAATATTATACCCCGTCCCTTGTACCCAGGTCATTATTATTGTTCTATGGCATGACTCCCCTCAGTGATAGCAATACCGGTGTTGATTATCCTGTTAATTTAAGGACTCAAATGAGACAAGTTTACACTTCTTTGCAGTACAGTATCAGATGAAAGATTACCCTTGATGGGAAGTGGATCTAATGAAGCTAGTTCTAAGAAATGTTATATTACAAGAAAATGAAAAGGGATAAAACTAATTTGTACAATACTAATACCTGTACCTTGTACCTGTATAGTGTTTTTTTTTTTTTTTTTTAATACCAAAGTAAAGGTAAAACAAGTGCAGTGTCAGTAATATTGGAATAAAGTGTTGGCATTGTCTTCATTGATATAACTTGTACTTTCCTTGTTTCTTTCATATTATTGTTTTAGTTTCTGAGTGCAGAAATTGAGCATCACACTAAGTAGCGGAAACAATCTGAATGTCACTTTAACAAACATAAGGCACTCTGGCACTTGGAATACTTATTATCATTAAACTTACACAGATAGAGTGACTGAAAAATCTCTAAGCAAAGCATTTACAAAGTTCCTTGGCATTAACCCTTAAATCGCGGCCAATATCAGGAAGTTAAGTTGTAAGGATGGCGGCCATCACCTTGGGAAGTTTCAAGTTACTTACGTTCCATTTTACCACATACAGGGGAAGAGTGGGATATCTTTAGCTGCTGGTTAAGATTATTGATTTACTGTAACTAAAATTATCATTATTATTATTATGAGGATTACAATTGATAATTGAATTTGCACCATCATTATCACTATTGTAAGAATACAGTAATCTGTGTGATCTCTCACACTGTACTGTATAGTATGCCATTTGTCTCACATATGCCAATTGACCTACAGGAGTTACGGTATTATCTTTGCAGCACAATGGGTCAAGGTAACAGCAACTCACTACGGGAGAACCTGGAGTCACTCCACAACCAGCTGATGAAACATGCCGGGGCTGATTATGACATCGCTACCACCACCACACTCACTTATGACCAGTTCCTTGGTTATATCACACAACTTAACCAGATGTAGGATTATTTTGCAACGTTTCTTGAAAACCTCAAATAAGAATTTTATTGGTACACTGTAATGGAGTTATTTGAAAGACTTAACATGTCTGAGTAATAAATGCTAAAGATTGAACTTGTAAACTTCTTTTATAGCTATTAGTAGCATTACTTGTTATATCAATACATTTTCATTTCCAATTATTAGTTTACATATTTGTGTTGCACTTGTACTGTACAATGAAAGCAATGAAAGACAAAAGTCGTGTCATGAAATTTGGTGAA